AGCCGCGGATGCTCCCGAGCTCCAGCTTGCTGGAACTGCGGCTCAAAGATGCACTCGGAAGTGGAGTGCAAGGCCCTCACACGATGTCGCAATTGTGGGGGACCTCACCGATCGGACTCTCGGCACTGCCAAGCCAGACCCAGAAAAGATGGACCGGTGACCAAGGAACAGCTCGCAGCAATTCGCAGAGTCGAGCAAGAAAGATATGCAGACTTTGCCCGTGTCAAAGCTGCATACAAAAAAGATGAAGAGGCGAGGAACGCCTCTGCGAAGGACGTCTCCATGGCGGAGGGATCGGGTTTCGGAATTTTAGAAACCGAAGAAGAAGTTTGAGGACTCGGCAGTCCTTGGTGAAGTCTACGACAACTTTCACAACAAAAAGCAGGAAACCAGCCGACAGCAAAGGTTACCTGAGAGCTCATCTTTCGCTCTCAGCGGAGATTAGGAAAAGTCACTTGGAAGATGTGACAGGGAAGGAAACGGGTGAGAAGCGCGGGATCTGGACCACATATGAAATTCTTCTAAATTATTATTTATTTTTTTCAGTTTATTTCAGTTTTTTTTGTTTGATTTATGCTTTGATTTTAGTTTTGATTTAAGTTATGTTGTTAACTTCATCTACTTTTGTTGAGGTTCCCGCGGTTGGAATAAGTTGGGCCTGTACGCAGAGAACCCCACCGGCTCCACCAGTCTTGTACCGATAGTGGACCTAGAGCTTTAGCTTCGGACTTTAAAATTAAAAACAAAAAACAAAAACAAACTTAACCCTGAAACTGATCAGGAAGGAGCTTTGGATTAGTCATGAATTAGTCATGGAAGGAAAGGTGGTCAGAGCTGAGATGGAAAACTTTTCTGGCAAGGAGTTCCGTTGGGAGAGGTGTCAGTGGATAGAGGTAGTTGCGATATATATACTTAATATAATATATTTGTTAATTCGCTCCAAAGAAAATCTACAGTAGACGTCGCTTTAAGATTGTGGAACAACGGTACCTAACGCTACAACGGTGGTCAGAGAAGCCCTCGTTATATTACAACATGTGCTACCCACCGGCGGGCGAACAAAAAGCCCACGAAAGCAAAGTCAAAGACCCTTCCGCCCTCAAGAAAAGCAGATTTCTACTCGTCAATAATATCGTCCCTACTAATCTACACTTCCGAATTTACTAGCCAGGAGGGCATCTGAAATACATGAGTTACTCAACGACCCTGCGTGCGTAACGACTTCAGGATGCTAGGCTAGGCCCATTCACGGCAGTCACTCTCGACCAAGAATTTCCTGATATCCTTTCATGATTTTCGGGTCGTCTTAGGGTATAAATCAGGGGAGGAGTAAGGAGGAGGCTAGGAAGGTTGAGAGACACTCTTAAGTACACACAGGTCTGCTGCGCCCGGCTGGTCGGCCTCTTCGTCATAGGAGAGCCTCGCACTCAGTAGTTTTTGAGACTTTCCCTACAGCTACGCATACGCAAATGAACATTGTTTCGTTGGCTGGAGGGGAGAAATAGTGACGGAATAAAGGCTCCTCTTAGTGTGTACTCGAATGAAGACCTGTGGGGGTATTACTGCTGGAAAGAAGTCGTGAAGAAGGCATAGGAGGGAGTACACTACCCGAGCCATAGATATACCTTACCTGTGGGCAGAAAGGACCTACATGTCCTTGGATAATCATAGACTTTTTACGACAATAAATACACACATACTTAGATTTTTACTGCTTAAAATTGGACATGACTACAATAAGTCGTGCTTGTGCAAGCGACAGCTAAGTGACGATGAAAGGTGTGTATGGGTATTTATTGTATAGATTGATTCTATGGCTACCTAGCACACTAGGCTTCTTTCTGGCCCCGACTTCACCTTGTACAGTGCTCCTGCACTCTTGCTGCGAAAAATGATATCTGATGTGTTGCCCCAAATTAGATGGAGTTTTGACTCAGTGTTTGTCTGTAGAACTCAGCATCTTTCTGCGGAAACATCTTCCTAAAAACACACACACATACAGCCCCAGCCACACAATGCCTATACAACAGAGCCAGATGAGATGCGCACATCTATCTACATCTCCCTTCTTTGTAACATTAGAGGCCATCTTGATCCAATCCACCATCGTCGTGTCTGGTGCTGGACTTGCTCCGGAGACTCATCGGATGACTTTTCCTCCACAATCAAGAGTCGATGATTAGTCGGGCTTCGACCCTACCATCCGATCTGATCGTGGTTAGCTTTGTAGGAACGGTGCTAAGGAGATGTGCCGAAAAATTAAGATGATCATGGTCGCAAGAGCGATTGAGCCTCCACACCTAGAAGATAATGAAGGTATTACTCAATCTTATCTTTACTAAGTCTATAGTGAGAGCTGGAGGTTCTTAAGGTAAGCAGGTTTGAGTTTTGTGCTTCCGTTCCCGTGTGGAGGAAGATAAAGAACATTGCGTCAATTGAGAGCTCCTTAGATGCTGTACCATTGTTACAGAGGTAGAAACTTCGAACGGTCAGAACTAGAAGATAGAACATAACTGTTAGTTTCTAGCGTTAGTGATGAGGTGATCATCGTTCTGCTCGTGAATCTCCCGATGTCTAGTTTGAGTTAGAAGTACCGAGCAGGTGCTGAACAGGTCACATTATCCAAAACTTAGATTGTACCGACTTAGCTTCTTATAATACAGTCATAGTTAATGTATTTACTTCAGTGTGGGCTTGAAAACTTCCGCTTGAAACTAGAATTCGAATACATTAGCTGCATTGGCGTAGCGGAGATGATGATTATCGCTTCTTGTTTCATCCACATCAGTATGTCAATAATCCCAGTTTTGCCTTCTTCATTGTAGCCTGTGGCTTGCATTGATGAAAGTCTTGGATCTAGTCCGGTTTGCTATCAAAAATTCCCCCGATGACGTCCCCGAAGGAAAGTCAGCGACACTCAACGCCCCGCTGTGCAATGGAGGTTTCGTGTCGCCACTGGAAGCATTGGTGAGCGCCTCAGTGTCAAGAAGGTAAGTATGAGGAAGAAGGTAGGAATGCCGCTCGACATCTCCCCTTCTTATACTACTTCAAATCTCCCCAATCTCTTAGTGCTCTTATTTGGCGAGCCACTAGTCCGCATCTGTCCATTCTAAATGCCATGTTTGATTGGCTGACACACTCACTTACTAATGGAGTTTGGCGGATTTGTCATGGGTGCGATTAATTCAGGTAATCCGGAGGACAAAGACTTAACATCTGTCAGTGGTGTCCTCTACGAACTGGGAGTGAAATATCCTCCCAGGGCCGAGATTCAGTCATGAAAAAGGATGGGATGAATTTCTCTGATAGATTTTCGGCTTGAAGGAGTTGTACTCGGTATTTTGGTCGAAAAATCAGCCAGGAGAGATTTCACAGCCGCAACAAAGTCGAACAAAAACTCATCACCACCAACATACGATTCACGAGTGGGCTTAGGTCTGTCTGGGGGTCGAAGTCAAAAATCCGACATCTCTTAAACTCCTTATATATTTGCGACGATCCATTTCTCAGTCGATTCTACACCTGCGATCCACCTCCATACTCGGCACATTACCTATTTACACACGCTCTAATGAGGAAAGTCATGATGGAAACGGAACGTGTACAAAGGAGGAAGAAAAGGAAAGGTACACCAAGGGGATTACACAAATCCCCGATGACGACAACAACCCGACGGTACGACATGAAGGTGCAAGCCTAGAGCAACGATGAGATCTTGGACGGCATTTATATGTCGAATTCATTGAAGATGTCAAGGGCTCGGGCGCGTGGTGGCCGAGGTTAAGGAGGAATTTGCGCCACGGCGTATGTACAGTAGGTTTCTGGACGAACAGTCTCGATGTGATGCAACACAAAGGTGAATTCTGGGATGGAACGAGATTTATTGTACCTTTATGGTTGTTGACCTAATCCAGTCGGCCCCACTCGTGCTCAAGCTCCAGCAGGAGTGCCAAGAGTGCCGATTACCTAGCACGTTAGTAAAAATACATACATAAATTTTTATTATGCATCAGATTTTAATTGCGTATGCAGCTATCTAGCTATGACACAATATCAAAGAAAAGTACATAATAGACATACATACTTTGTTGATACTTATTTGACTACAAATCATGTACAGTGCGGACTCGTTATAACGATTTGATTCCGTGCCGCTATTTCGTATAGTTATCACATTTTAGCTGACGAATTGGTCACGTGATAGTTCGTACAAACATATTTAAATACTTGGTCCACTTAACTGTCTACAAACTAGAACGATATTATCTTTATGCAGTAAAATCAAGTAGGCCACAAGGGGAACCGACAACAAGCATGCAAGAATATAAAGCTAGATATTGAAAACTGGACCAGAATTTTTGGCATGGAGAATGCGAAAGGGAGACGAAAAGATGCCGGTAAGGTGGCCACGTTCCGGGAGTGGAAGGACTCATGGACACATCCAGGGAACGGGAAACTATCTGGTCATTCAGCTTCGGCAGACTCTGAACATTGGAAATCCGCAAATATTGTTACAGATGAGACGACTTGCAGAAATAGGATTACCAATAGAAATACACCCTCAAATATACACCGGAACCTTAGCAGGGCCCAAAGCAGCATTGAACGAAAAGATATGACGATGGGGAAAGGGATAGGACTGAATTCACACTGTATGAATAATATAAACGCACTTCCTCTAGGAAACCTCGGAAAACCAATAGACACGAGACAGTCAGTCTTGGGGGAGTTTTTCCCGAATTTGGTTTCCTCCTGTGTAAATATTATATCTAGATATACCCGCAAGGGCTCATAGGGCGCCAAATCAGGATGATGAAATCAGAATTAAATACATGATAAAACCATAATTTTAGAGATGAGCATAATAAATATTCCTTTAGGGTTTAATATTGGAGTTTAGTTTGGTTCTAGATGACTAATAAATACCTAAACACCTCAGCACCATTAAGTTGATCATATATCTTAAACGCCAGCCTTTTCATTACTATTTTATGCAACATCTACTCATCATGAGTAGTACTACCCTGTTCTATGCCACCGCCGATACTGCCGCTTTGGGTTGTAGAGCTTGCACTTCTATTCGCCGCTAGTTGCCAAGAAGGAATGGATGCCTTACCACCATAGCCAGCATTGAACATACTTGGTACTACATTATTAGCAGGAGGTGTTGTAGATTTTGCCTCTGAGATTTCAGATGACGTTACTTCGTCCACAGATGCTCCAGTCGATATCCCTGTCGATGATGCTCGTCCAAAGGCATTTGGATTCGCAGAGTTTATTCTTTGGCCCATCAATAGCTTAAGACTCTTGAGTTCAGCATTGATTTCTTTAAGCCGAGCATCAGTTTTTCCTCTCTGTTCTTCAATGGCCTTTGGAATGAGGTTTCTAAAAGTTTGCACTTCGTCAGTAATCCTTCGTGATTCGTCTTCTCTTCGTCGGCTAGCTGCTTTAAGATCATTTGTAACACTTTCAACTTCGGTTAAAGCAGCATCTAGTCGCTTCGTTCGAGTTTCTTCTGATGTCTTGAGCAACTCGGTGTCTTTGGACAGTTGGTCCAGCAAGGAAAATGCTTTTTCGAAGGACTCATCAATAGCTTTTTTATCCTGCTCCAGTTGTGGCGGAGTTGGAGGAGCAATCAGAGGAACAATGTAACGCTAAGAAGTGGAGTTAGATGTATTTTTATAAGTTTCGATAATTTAGTTTGTGTAGTTACTTTAGCGACTGTGAGTAAACCAAATCCGACACCACCCATTATGGTTGCCATAATAAACCAATCTCTCCAATCTCTGGTGGGTATTGGGGGCGGTGCCTGCCATGAAGAGTACTGATAATTTCTGTATGAAGCTTTGGAAGGTTGTACTATTTGATGCTGAGAAGTAGTATTTTGATAGTTAGATGGTGAGACAGTTCCGCTAGCTCTTAACATTGCCTCATCAATTTCTTCCTGAGTAAGGTTCTTAGATTGCAAAAAAGCAATCCGGTTCTCAATAGGTGAGGCCGCAACATTTGGATCCTGTAGGACTAAGTGCAATGAGCTAGTGATACTGGTATTGGGAGACTTTCTTACATGAAACCTGTTCTCATCAGCAAGAATAAAATATTTTTTGAACTCACCTACGGCAGATGCGATTATATTTTCACGGATTGTCATTGCGTCTGAACCGTTGAGCAATATTGCTATAATTGACACCAGCCAAGTATTTAGAAAGACTGGTACCCTTATGTAGCATAGAATAGAGCAAGACGGAAGATTTTTTGCGACAACTCTTTTTTAACCTGTAATCAAGGAGATTAGATGAATACTAACCTTAAGGTGTGTATACCATACCAATCGGTTGAGGAACGTAACTGTTAGTCCAACTCGGCTCAAGCTCAAGTTTGATCACGTGAGCGTGTTTCAACGGTTGGCTTTTTTTTTTAATTTCATATTTGACTTGGTAACGACAACACGTTCAGGTATGTGTGTGGACCCATGCAGGTGTCCGTCATTCTTTCTACATTATATGGGAGGAAATCATTTGGTGAAGTGCCCAAATCCTTCTTGTTTATTGTCTACATTTTTCATATGTATCCTTCAGGAAGCGCAGCCACTTTTAAGTGCCTTCCATATAACCAAATCATATCAGCTTTATCGACCTCAAGAAAGGCATGACCAGTTTCTTTCCCTCAGCAGCATTTTGACCGCCCTTATCATCTAGTATTGCTCTATCCAACCATGATTTAGGATCCACTATGTTATCCTTTTAATGTCTCCAGGATTGTTTATCATTGCTACGTAGGACCGATCTTTGGCTTATCTCCAGATCTTTCCTCTTCCATTTGACCATCGAGGACAGGACATAATCATATGCTTGGGGTTCTGAGATTGGTAGCCACATGGATAGCTTGGACTGTAGACTCCGGGTACCTATCTTCAACATAGATCAGAATTGATCCCAATGTGCTCACTTCCTATTTGCATCGCTAGACTGCTTTGGGCCCCCAAAAAAATTGATATTGTATTCAGCTATTTAGCTATGACAAATTAAGTTTATAAATGCAGCAAAAACCAAGCATGAATCAAAGACAGGTAAGAATAAATATTACCAAAATTTTCTCCCATTCATTTGTGTCCTAGTACACCTATTTCTCTCCAACTCCCATTGTTTGTGTACCTAGTATATCTCCTGTGTATATTGGTAAACACTTGGAAGTTTCCAAGTATCACCGTAAAGCTTCTCTTCCTCTTTTAGCTCTTAAAAGTGTTAGCAATATCCTAGGTTGGATATCAGTAAATGCTAGTTCTAGTTGTTTCCTATATTTTGTGCCACGAAGTATTAAATGCTTTGTTGACCGCTGTTTTGAATGGTAGAAATTTTATACTTCATTTTCACCTTTCCAATCAAATATTAATTTGCTCTTGTAATTCCAATTCCAGTGTGAGTCAGCAGTGGGCTATTACTGCGACATGTTTATGTTCTTGATCAGCATCAACACACCCATAGCGCCGACCCTATCAAAGACACAGTATTCCTTGTAGACTGATTAAGGTCTTTTCCAATTTGTTCATTTTCCTTGTGATAGCCAAATCACAACCGCTTCCCCTCTTGGCCCAGCGCGTCGCTGATGAGCCCGAGCTGGTTCAGCGCGTGACAAAAGGTCGAACTACATGTGTTCAAAACTCCCACAACAAGTTTTGGAAAGCGATTGAAGAAGCTGAACCTCCCATTGAATCCTTCGTGCGCGAACTACTGGAAGCTTTTCTCTCCGCGGCTGCTTTCAGGCACCCTGTGCGGTACGATAAGATAGCTCTTTGGGATTGGCGTAAGAGGATTGAGGACAAGTTAACAAGATGATGCGACGGATGGATACAGTCTCGACGGGCGTGGAATTTTGAATTTTGGCAAGGAGTTTTAACAAATTGAGCTTTGTGTGTGCCAAGACTTCGGTTGCGAGAGTGCAGGCGACACTAAAAACATCGCCATGGCTGGATGGTGCGGTGGTACATCGTCTTGGCTGGTCTGCCAAGTAGAGTCTGGATAGCTTGGATATATATCCCACTCGAGACAGTAGATCGCTGGTTCAAATCCGGCAAAACACAACTACTCTTCTCGCGGCGCTGGTATACATGGATGACGAAGGCATTTTTCAATAACCAAAGGTTTTTAAACTCCCTTTGGTGGGTACTTATGGAGGAGGTTCGACTGTTTGTGTAAGCAAACATACCTCATAGTGGTATTTGCAAATGAAATCCAGAGTATGAGTGTCTCTAACGTCAAAAGAGTCATCCAACATGTATACAAGCACCGGTCATGTGTCATAGCTAGATAGCTGATTACACATTAAATGATGATAAAAAAAATGCGGTACGATACTTCAAAACAGCCCAAGCCGGCGAGCCCCTCACTCAAGCCTAGCCAAAAGCTTCCCTCACGACCTCCTGTTATCATTTTAAATCAACCTTAAAACTGGGCAGCTACCGCCGCAGGCCTAACTGCTTCTATTCTCTGCTTCGGCCCAAGCTATTTCCGACAATGAACACCCTCGCATAACTCCAATAGCCTTCTGTAAAATCTAAGGGCCCTAAAGTAATCTTCCGCTCAACTGAGGGGGCCTCTCTCTTTAGAGGAGATGCAACAGTTGAAAAAACTGATCTCATACAATTATCCCTGGTCTCAAAGATGGTATCGCCTACGATTTCACCAACTAAAGCGGATTCAGCTTGACCCCTTTGTCCGAGGATTCGCTGAAACTTTAAATAGACCACGCCGACTCTGTCAAGGCCTCTCTCTCGAGAATTTGATATCAAGTAGAAGAATGCATTGGATATATTGTTAAGCGCATTCCACGTACCATTTTGAATCCGGTGTCCAATCTGGTTTCTTCTACGCTTGATGACATCATGAACATTGCTCAGGCGCGGAAGAATGTTGCCCCATTCAGCGCCCACTGGTCGCAGCACAAAAACTGCCACAATCCTTTTCATACGTCTGTGATATTCTTTTCAAAATTGGTCCCTAATTTTCGTATTGTCGACAGCGCTCCATCACGACGCTAGATCCAAAACCCAAAAGTAATCCAGTGCGAAGCTCGTTTTGGGTTCCATAAATCTTTTCGCTGCCGGATCCAAGCTTTGTGCGCCTTCTGCGGCATTTATCGTCGCCAAGAGTACAGCACTCACCTTTGTCGGTGTATCAACGGATTGGGGCCACACCCAGCTAATGATCACATCTGCCCTATGCGCCCTTGCGCTTACAAGGGCAAACTTATTCAGCTCTCCTACAAAGGGTTTGTTGGTGAAAGGATCATATTCGGGCGTTATGCATTGTTCTATTTGTCACAGTCATTAAGACAATAGTAATTTGCATGGAATAAGATATAGAGATATGATTTTTTTTTTTTTTGCATCAGATTTTAATTGCGTATGCAACTATCTAGCTATGACACAATATCAAAGAAAAGTACAGAATAGATGATTCAACGTAAAGGAAGAGCACTCATGCCTCAGATTTCATTTGCAAGTACCACTGCGAAGTTATGGCGGCTTTTTCTTCACCCCAATAGAGATATGATTGTAATGGGGTGGATGACATGAGAATTATAAACTAGGCCATGGCGCGAGCATGACGTTAAATATTTTAAATAAATAGTCAATAGCGAGTAAAGGTTTAGAGGGCAAAGACTGAACACCTGTACGCGCTGTCCTCTACGAACCTGGGAGTGAAATATTCTCCCAGAGCAAAGTTCAGTCAAATTTCGCAATATCAAGGAAGTTGGCCCACGAGGCAATGATTCAAATTACTCCTCCACGTCATTTTTTCGTACCCAACGAGTTTGACTTCTACCTAAGTCTCATCAAGCCTACAAGTACGACCAAGTACATCCTCATTCCAATGACCACATCACTCTTCGACCTTCTCTGGCCTCAGCCGGTCACCATATACACGCCCACGCCGATGTTTACACCCGCAGAGTGAAGCAAAGCGTGGCGCACAAATCTGGGAGACAGTTCTTTTGGGATAGACGTGAGAGGGTTCAGGATAATTTACAAGATAACACGGAGGATTGATACAATCTCGAGGGGCGTGTAATTTGAAATTTGGCAAGGAGTTTCACGGATTGATCTTTGTGCGCGCCAAGTGTTCGCTTGCGAGAGGGCAGCTAACACTATAAACACAAGGAAACGATGGAAGGTGTTGTGGTCCGCCTCCTGGTGGTGTTCTCTGGTATAGTCTGAGTTGCCTGGGCACCTACTCCACTTGGGAAGGGGACGCCCCGGATCACATTTCGCGTGGAGAAAATTTGAAAGATGAAGGAGGGATGTCTGGATAACTCAGGGTTTTTGAGACGTCCCCCTGGGTGGGTATTCACGGATGAGGGTTGACCTGGGATGAAGAAAAAGCCACCATAACTTCTCAGTGGTACTTGCAAATGAAATCCGAGGCATGAATGCTCTTCCTTTACATTGAGACATCTATCATATAATTTTCTTTGAAATTGTGTCGTAGCTAGATAGCTACATACGCAATTAAAATCTGATACAAAAAAAGAGTAAAGGTTTGTAGAGGTCCGTTTATATTCAGTATGTCTTTTGGCAATAGCCAACTTCCACAAACCAACTCTTCAACAGATATAATACAAAGGTTTACTGATCGCCTTTCCTTTTGAATTCGAATTCAAGAACCTGGTAGTTTTATATTATGGTTATACGTTATGAGGTACAGTTGTAATACTTGAGGTGACGTACTGGTTATAGCGCGTGTGTGAGTTCGAAGAGACGCGATGAATAACTGACGCCATATATAGAGATATATCATACAAGTTTAAGTGGGTATATGAATATAAGTGTGTGGAATAGTCCTAATGACAGGTGTATGTGTGAACTTTGTGTCCTACTAACAACGTACTGGGTGATAATAATGAATCCTGCGATACGGAGGCCAAGCCAGTCTTAGTGCTCTTTTCTCACAATGCTGAGGCCAATATTATCATGCGTGGCCTTGACTGTCCACAGTAGGACTAGTGTGCTTCCACATCATACCATTTTGACCAATAGTTTTTGATATTAAATGATCTATAATTAATGAAGCTAAATTGGCATGGCATGTGGCTAGTACCATATTATCATGGTAAGTATCTTTTTGGACCTCAGAGAGAATCATACTAAGGAGT